TCTTTGGCAGTATTAAACCAAAATATTTACCTTTTTTTTGTAAGCCATAATCACACTGTGACTTTCTCCACAACATAAAAAAAATTGCAACTATAGCTACTAAAGGTGGCTTCTGTATGGTTCTGTATCTGCCATTACTGGAAGGACATGGGATAAAAATGTTTGGCAATAAATGTTTTTAATGATACCTTGTAAGACCATTGGAATGACCTAGACACAGAGCAGAATCTGGACGGACAGAGAGGAAAAATAGCATATATGTTCTTTTTTCAACAGCTGGCATGTATACATACATTTAGAACCACTCAGAATGCACAAGAGAAAAGTGTTTGATAAATCAGAAATAATAAAATGTTGTAATAGAATGTAATAATTATCATACCCAATTTCAATTTTTAAAAATGTTTTAACATTATTTTACTTGAGAAGGCTCAGAGAAAATGACTATTGTTCACAGAGTATGATTGGGAGGGAAGATTAGCAGTACAGTACTTTTATCTCCATCCAAGCTTTGATTATACTTACGTTAGTAACTTACAGTAAGAGACAGAGAGAGAGAGAGAGAGTGTGTGTGTGTGTGGGGGGGGGGGAATAAGTTTCCTAGTATGCTTATGACATCCTCGGTTTCCAATGCAGAGCTTAGTTAAAAGAGCATGTGTTAGCAACTCCCAATGGTTGGAGACGTCTGGCAGAGAGAGACAGAGGGAGGGAGCATTAGCAGTCTTGACTAAAGTAGTGAGTGCACTGTTCTGGGCATGGAATGACGTACATATTGTGCTGGATCAGAAATGCGGAAGAATTAGAAGCCTCTAAGTGTCAACTGGTCTTGGTTTAAAGAGCAAAGCAGCACAGCTACGAAGCTGTTCTGTGTGTGGCGCTGGTAAGATATACATCGTTCTTTGATTTCTCTCTCTCGCTCACTCGCTTTCTTCCCTTCCTCCCCTCCCCCCATTTCCTTCCCCTCCAGGCCTATACAGCACAAGGCTTCTGATAGGGATCAAGGGGAAACAATTTGAAACAATTGGGTTGAGATTTACTGATTTTTTTCTTTATTTTTTAAAAATCCTTTTTTACTTTTAGTCTGAAAGAAAAAGATTGTACTAGTCAGAGTTGAAATGCTCACTCTTTTCTTGTCTCTATCTGTGTGTGTGTAAATATATATATATATAGAGAGAGAGAGATGAATACACACGCAGTCTGTGCATGTACATTTTTGAGTAAACAAGAGTAAAAGTCCGTTTCATCTGGCCTGAAGATACGAGGCCTTGGAGAGACTATCAATTTCCACAACAGCACCAAGTTCCTGTTACATTACATGTTGCTCTCTGCTGATGGCAGTTGATAATTGGTAGCCACAGTCTGCGGTCTGAGCCACAGCATTTTGTCTAGCACCTGGGCTGGGCCCTGCTGATATACACTGGAGTGAGAGAGACACACACAGACAGAAAATAAGCTAGCTGTAACTGTGCAACTCTGAATGAGCGGCCTCAAGAGGATATTGCCTCACGCATGGAATCTACCTGAGGCTGACTGGTGATGCCCCGTGTGCTTGGGGGTTCACAGAGAGGCTTGAATCCCTTTTCCAGAGGACACGATTATGTCCAGTGAACAGCGTAACAGTACAACGTTGAAGGATGCTCAATTAAAAGACCTGTTATTGGAAAGAGGTACTCCAGTTTTTGGTTGTATTTCTTATATATTTATTTAAAATATTTGCATGAATCAGATTATTGTAAATTTGATCTCTGACTTCTGTCTGATCTGCCAAGTTAGAATATTGCTGTATCAGAGCTACTCTTATAAACAGAGGTGTATAAATTGAAAGGAGTCTGTTGGATATGTACATAATTGTTTGTACAACTGTCTCTTTAGGAAAATTATCCAGGCATTTCTACCCACATGAATACAAATAAGCTAATTTATCACTTCTGTTCTTAATTTTTATTCTCCTAGGAAAGTGTTTTCAATATTACTTAATTGCCTTTTTTGCTGAATATTTGTGAAGTAAAAAAAAAAATATCCCCTGAAAAAACTGTATTACTGATCTTGTCTCCTGTATGCCTGTTGGGTGGGTGAGTGGGTAGATACAATTTTTTCCAAGCTCAGTTTTTGGAGAAAAGCTTACTAAGAGATGTGGGTGGTGGTGGTTAGGGCATAGGTGCCTCTCACATTTGTTGTTAACTGTTGAGCAAGGGGCAGGGGAGCATGTGATTATATGTTGGGTTACATCAGAAACTGCCCTAATTGCCTTGAATTGTGTAAATAAATGTGAGCTATTTGCACTACTGTCCTTTTTCTTCTGTTCTAATAAGCAGGGGAACAAACAGGGTACAGGAAAAGATTCAACATATTTTTTCACCCTTTAAAAAGACAATGCCACCCTTGAAAAATTTAATGGGATGTTTTCTTATGCTCTGTTTTTCAGTTTTGCACCATCAAGCCAAATTTGGAAAGAGTTTATTTGTTCGTGCTGTAATACAATACACTGTGGTTTTATTATATGTGACTATATTTTTATTGTATTTTTTTTTTCATTTTGTAAGTGTCTCAAATGCTTCAGATCCTGAAACATTTATTCAGAGAAAAGAGATACTGCCCCTTCATAGAAATACTGGGCCCTCGATAAAATTGGAAGACTCAATCCTTGGCAGACATAGAACTAACATGTCATTCCAGTGATCTCTACGTTCTAGGAAAGTAATCAACATTACTCATTTTGCACATTGCCCTTTAGCAACACCCTCACGGTTTCCATAGTAAATGAAGTATTATATAGCCAAAAGCGGGTGGGGGGGTGTATGGAGATGCTCAAATAACTAGCCTTTATATGTTCTGTTGTACACCAACTGTCTTCTCCATCAAGTTCGTAACCTGTATTTGTGACCTGGGGAAAATTGACTTTATCCTAAAACACCTGAGTAATTTTTTGTCTTCCATGCATTTAGGTATTTTAGCTATCAGTACAATAACCTGAGGAAAAAACTGACAAACCGATTGTTGTATGTGGAGTTTTTAGCTGGAGCAATGAGAGGGTAGAAAAGATTGAAGAATGAAAGTGTGTGTAGGAGTTGATTATGTTATTAATGAATGGTCTATACTTAACTGAAAAGAAAAAAATAAATTAAAAATGTAATTACATTATTGAAGGTTCTTTTAATCTTGGAATAATTTCAGTTACACCTACTGTGATTAGCAATGAAATTAAGTTGCTAGACATTTGTTTGTATGCCCTTGTTCATTGACAGTGTCTGACAAGTAACAAGCCTTTGTAGCAAAGGCAGATATAAAAGGTATTACTACTACATGCTAGACCTGACAATCTTGTAGTATGCTTGCCTGTTTGAATTTGTTCAAGGTTTGGGATGGTTTTGTTTTAAAGAGAGTTTAGACTCAGGAAACCTAAAAAGATTGGTTTCTTTTAATTTCCAATACGAAGCAGTCCTCCTTTAACTCAGCTTTAGAAATCACCATTGAAAAGTATAAAAGATAAAAGTGCTTTTTTCACAGTGCATTTAAATTTCTGCTTTAAACTTCGATAGCTTTTTTTTTTTCTGGGCAAGATTTTTTAAAACTGAGCGCCTAAATTTAGGCTCTAAATCCATATCTAAGCATCTAAATACATGGTGCGATTTTTCAGAAGTGCCAAAGATGTGCTCCCATAGACTAAATGTTCTCTTTTAAGACTAGAGCATCCCTTGTGAGTGATGCACTGTTTCCATAGAAATGTCAGCAAATGTGTAACTCCTAAGGGCAAATTCTTCTCTTAGTCACATCCGCGCTGCTCCAGTAATGCCAGTGGGTTGCATGGATGTGGACGAGGGCAGTTTATGGCTCTAAATAATAATTTTTTTGGTTGAACAAGCTAGTTTTTTTTAAAATGGTGGGCTTTTAAAAGTTTCCATTGGAAATAGCATCATTTCCCCAATTGTGTGTGTGCTGGCTTTCATATTTGACCAGAACTCAGTAATGCAAAGTAAAAGCCTCCTGAAGACCAGGCAGTTTGTAGTTTTCATATGACTTAGCAGATGACTGAGCTTTTGCCATAGACTTTAATTTTTTCAGTTATGTTTCATCAGTTATTGTTAACACGGCTGAGATATTGGAAACAAAATCTTGATTCCACTCTGTAGTATCAACTCGAATGCTGCTGGAGGTCCTAGGATTGTCCTCATATTGTAGGGTGTAAATAACATAGCATTTTCTACTGGGATCACTGTATTTTCCAAAGGCTTGTCTGCTACTTCTCGAGAAGAATTATATAGAATCATAGAATGCTAGAACTGGAAGGGACCTCGAAAGGTCATGAAGTCCAGTCCTCTGTCCTCACGGCAGGACCAAGCACTATCTAGATCAGCGCTGCACAATCTGTGGGTCATGGTGGCTGTCTTCCTGGGAGGTCGCTGTGCTTTGATCCATGCTAGCTGGTATTTTCTTTTCCCAGCTCGGCACCCAACGTACATGCGGTGGGAATGGGGGGGAGTGGCAGGGAAGCAGGCCAGTGCTTTAAATTAAAGGGGCCACAACAAAATGTGCTCGGTGTATGTGCGTGTGGGGAAAGGCGTTTTTCCTCAATAAAAATTTTCCCCAGCCCTGGGGTGTTGCGAATTAAAAAAGGCAAATTAAAAAAGGTCGAGCACCACTGATCTAGATCATCCCTGACAGATGCCTATCTAACCTGCTCTTAAATATCTCCAGATATCTTAAATATTCCACACCTCCCTAGGCAATTTATTCCAGTGTTAAACACTCTGACAGTTAGGAAGTTTTTCCTAATGTCCACCCTAAAACTCTCTTCCTGCAATTTAAGCCTATTGCATTAAAAGGCTGCACTGAGAGAGCATCATGAAATCTCTTAAGCTTTGATTTGCAGCTACCCAAAGGCCTTAACTCTGTTAAGTGCTTAAATGTGCTTTCTGCATTGTGGTTGGAGTGCAGTGTTCATGAAAAAAACAAATATGAATGTTGTGTGTCTGATGGTTTTCTCCCTTTTATTATTTCAGCTGAACTGGAGTTTGTTCAAATAATCATTATAATCGTTGTGATAACTGTTATGGTGATAGTGATCATCTGCCTGTTGAACCATTACAAACTCTCAACACGCTCCTTCATTAACCGACAGAGCCAAAACAGGAGGCAGGAAGAAACTTTGCAGCCGGTAAGTTCAAGCCCCTTTGTCCTAGCCTTTTTCTCTTTGTTAGTGCTGGTCTCTTTGTAAGGGCTAAAAAAAATATGAAGTTCTGATTATAGGCAGCTGCGTGAAAAATGTCTCACATCAATTTTAATATTCTCTGAAAAAAAATCAGTGCATGATGATTTTAGAATTTCCCTGCACAGATATTTTTAGGCACTCTTCTGTTTTATATTGCAGCTTTTTCATGCCCTGTATGTGTCTAGTGGTGTCAGAATATGAAAGCCCTGATCACTGCTTCTACTGCAAGTTTTTAGTAAATTTTCATCTTACGGAAGGTGTGGTGATGACCAGGGAAGGTGTGTCATTTCCTGTTTACCCTTAGAAAAGATACAGCAGAGGCAGCAGCCTTAGCTGCTTACCAGCTACTGGGGGTGACTCTGAAAAGCATGACATTTTTCACTCATCCAGTTCCTTTCCATTTCCAGGCTTGTCTCTGCTACCTGGATGGGGGAAAGGCACCAAAGGCAATGGGATCAAAGTGTCAATCAAAGAGAAGGGCCAAATTGCCACTGACTTCATCGAGGCTAGAATTGTATTCCAAGCGTTTGACACTTAGGGTATGTCTAGACCACATCTCTCTGTCGCCAGAGGGATGTAAATTAGGCATACCGAAATTGCTAATGAAGTGGGGACAAAAAGGGGCGGCCGTTTTTATGCGAATGAAGCACGGGATATTTAAATCTCTGCTTCATTAGCAATGTTAGTATGTCTAATTTAAATCCGTCTGGTGACAGAGGGATGCAATCTAGACATACTCTTAGACCGAAGATCCCACATGTTACCCTGCTGTGTATCGTCTGTCTTCTGGAGCTCCTCTAGTGGTGAAAGGAGAGCTCAGTACCTGTGCCCACTGACC